CCTGGCGCTCCCCGCCGCCAGATCCAACCAGCCTATGCTGCCAATCGCGCCTCCCCGCCGTCGAGGCTGGTCGCGCCGGTCCGTGCCTCCCCACCACTAGCGCAGCTCGCGAGATTCCGCGGCAATGCGCTGTCCCCACCTCTGTCCGTGGCGATCCCCGTTGGGTAGTGCTCACCCCCGCGCTCGCCGGGATCTTTCGTGAAAACAACAAACCAATGCGCCTCCCCCCATGGGGCCGGGCGCGCAGCGTTCCCTCTGGCCGATTCAGGCCCTTCGTGGGGTGCTTGGCCGGCTGCTTCTCATCGGATCTCCCAGATGGGGACCCCCCTTGGATAGGACGGGGCCCCCCTTATGCTTTCGTGCCATGTGGCGCACTTCCACCGTCCGCGCCCGCCGGCTCTGAAACCACTTGGCGTGGTTTTCAGTTTGATGCGGGCGAGGCTCCCGCCGCGGCACCCAATTTGGCCCGGATGGGCCTCCTCCGCCAGATGACCGGCGGGCTGTCTGGGGCGCTCGCTCCTTTGGGGTGTGCAGTGTGGGCCCAGACCTGCGGATGGCCGGGCGCGGGGTGGCCGGGCACGCAGTGGGTGCGCGGCGCCGTGCGGCTCGCGGGTGCAGCCGCGGGGTGGGCGAGTGGGCAAGAGAAACAGAGTTACAGTCCGACAGGAGGTCGCCCCTTTGAGGAGGTGGCCTCCACCCGGATCACGTGACAATGCGGCCGCTGGGCCCAACGATAGTATCTCATCCCCCAATACGGTCCGGCAAAGGGTATCTAAAGTATAAGATATATATCTATCAATAACTCCTCTACCGCTAGCCCAATGGAGGTGGTTCGAGAACCTATGAGTTCCTAATGGACTCTACTATCATATGAGATATTCAATTGCATTGTTCATTGTAATTTGGCCTCCCAGTAATCCAATTACTAGAGAAACATACTACCCCCTGTGCTTTACACCACACCGCTGCTGACCAATGGAACACTACCGGAATCTGAAAGTCCCTGACGGATGGCAACGGAACGCCAAGGAAGGCAGCGGAAAAAAATGCGCTTTTACAAAAACCGCTAGCTGCACACACACTCTTGACAGACAGCTCCAGAGCCAAAAAATTGAAAGCTGATGTGGCATAAATGGCTATGGAAACCTGGCCCCGGCAAAGTTAGGGAAAATCGGCGGACGGATTGTTTGTGTTCAAAAAAGTTACAGAAGTAAAATAATGGAAAAAAAGCTGGGCGGCCACATCTACAACACGAGCCCAACAACAGTGGCTTTTTCCCTGCCAAGCCGTGGCCGGTACTCTAGCCGAATAGAATAGCATCCCCGCGCCCCACCCCAACACGATCTCGGAGAAGCAACAACCGCCCATGCACACTATGAGCCCAACAATATTGGCTTTTTCCCGGCCAAGCCCTGGCCAGTACTCCAGCCAAGCAGAACAGCAACCCCGCGCCCCACCCCGACACGATCTTGGAGAAGCAGCAGTCGCCCATTTCACCCCCCTACCTGTATCATCCCCGGGTGTGGCATGCTCACGGCCGGAGTTTACATTGGACAAAACAAAGCACGTTAGCAAACGCCCATCCACCCGGCGCCTTCACAGAACAATAGCCCTTTCCTAGCCAAGCAACGGCCGGTACTCCAGCTTAAGAGCCGCACGGCAACCCCATCCATGCCAACCCAATCTGGAAGCTAGGGCAAGGTTATCATGAGCTAGGCCACGGCCATTACTCTACTACAAAACAACGTCCCCGTCTACTCCAAGTTGCATCCAACACGACCCGACACAAATAGCAACAGCCCAATGGGCTGAGCCCGTGCACCCCGCGAGACTCGAAATTCCCCGCTGCTCCTTCCCGGCCATGGCATCGCATTGCCGCGGCCGGTACTCGAGCTCAACAGAAACGAACCCCCATCCAACAACCAGAATGAAAACAGCAGCGGAAACAGCACCCCACCCACACCACCCACCCACACCACCCACCCACACCACCCACCCACCACACTGACGCCATCACCACTGGGCCGGTGGCACCGGCACTCACCAGACGCCATGGGGGCAATTGGCGGCAGGCAGCCCCGACGCAGCATTTCACATACCCCAGGGGCATCACATCACATGCCAGCCAATCGAATGTACTGGGCTTGGGAACGCTTTGGGTGTACATTCTGCCTGTGTGATGGACAACAACGATTTGAAGGGGCATATGGATGTGCCACGGGGGCGAGCAGTGTGCACTACCGAATCCATCAAAGACCCAGGCAATCGCACCCCACGTCCGCCATGCATACCCGTTGCACACTAAACCAGGCGTTTGGCCATCCAGTCCGGGAACGGGATCCACTCTGCGGCGGTTATCTGTCACCTTTGCCAAAGTACAGGCGTCTGTACTTCACGGATGATGACAGAGCTGTCAAAAGTGATTGCACGTCTTACGGAATTTCAATGGAATTTCGTTGGAATTTCTGTACTGGGGTCCAACGTGTTTGAAAGGTCTGTGTTGCTCTGTGAACGTTGATGGAATTTTGTCGACCTCCGTGGTCCAGATAGTGGTTCCGTTATGGGAGCCTGTCATCCATGGGCTGCGGCGTGGATTCCGTAACACGTGGTTCCATTCTGGAAGGTTATGTGAATCTCTATAGCTATCTATGCTGATGCCAGTATGGCCCCGCCCATTTCTGTAAGGCACTTTTTCTCTCTGTGGCCCGCTCACGGATTCCGTTGACTGTGCGGAATTTTAACGGAGCCAACTAAATTCTGTTGTGGATGGACAGAGGGGCCCACCTCTATCGTAGACCCATTACTTGCTTGATTCCTCTGAGTAGTAATAAAGATACGCCCTTGTGGAGTCCCAATACTTAAGTGACAGGATGTGGGATTATAGAGGGTAATGGTGTATCGATATGGGACAATTCTGGGGTACGCTAAATGCGTGTGACGGTTGCACTATGTACTTAGTATATTATATAATTTATTATATAGTCATTATATAGTCTATATAATAGATGTCTAATTGTTGCAGGTGATTGGCCCCCGACCGGCCAATCACCATACATATGGGGGAGGCTCGGTCTGACCCCTCGATGTTACCCATTCTGGCTCACCACCCCGCTCTTCATGGGCCGCACGGCCCGGGGAGCAACTGCCCATGCAGACCACCGTTCCCGAACAACCGGTCCGCCCGTGCCGTAATTTTGGGGCCGTGACAACCGAACAAGAGTGAGCGTGCGCCCCAATTATGTCCGCCTCTCACGAGGCGGAGGTCTCCGCACCATGCATGTCTTGGCTCTGGCGTTGGGCCTGTCCCAAGCCAAATCGTGGATCGTGGTGGTATGTATCTTTGATTTAGTGAAAAACATTGCTATTCATTATTTAAATCACATGGAGAAATTTTAAGCTTCTTGTATGCAGAACCCCAAGTGTGGAACTTGCGATATAATGAAAAACAATGAAAAGCATATTTTATGCGGAAATACCTGATAACTAGTAACTTGAAAACGTATTCATGAATTGAGCATGTCTGGAAATTTTGGCTTTCATTAAATTGGGAAACTATATTTTGTCATATGGAATGGCTGGCTTTGCGAATTGGGTATTTCTGAAATATGGAACTGTGTATGTGTATATAAAATTCGAAAAATAGTGGCCAGCAGTAATTGGTGAATTTCTTGATGGAAATCCGGTCGTGAGAACGGCAACAGGCTAGGTGTTTATAGATGACACAAGGTTGCTCCGGTCCTCATTTGGTTTGATAGTGTAGTACTAGTTAATTTTGATTCTTCATAGGAAATGCACCACAATGTTGTTTTCGTACTCAAAAATGGGTACAACATGCTGGTGTAGCCATTGCTCAAAATTGTTTGGTCGGCAACACGATGCAATCCAATTTTGTTCCTCGTCTATTAGGTGCAGCGACTGGAAGTGCTTGAATCGCTCGTTGCTGAGCGCAATGCCTTGATTGCAAATTGAAAAGGCTGCCTTGCAATTGAAATGTTCCATTATTGCATTTCACCCAAGTGTGAACTTGCAGTTGGACCTCTTCAGGCATTTTCTTCGCATTTTCTCTTAGGCCGTCCTCTGGGAACACCCTGTCGCTTTCTCGTTACGTAATTCTATCTGAGAAGGTTGAAGGAAGCTGGTCCGTCCTGCCACCCTTCACAGGCCACAATCAACCGGATCAAGATTTTGATGTCGCGAAAAGAGCCGTTGGCACACCGCATTCCGGCCGCCAGCTCAGTGCTCTTTGCTCCGCTGCCCTGACGACTGCGCCGCCCCCACCGCCAGTTTCCGCACCACTGAGCAATGCTCTTCGGGCGGGGCTTTTGGGCCGCCCTGTGGCAGTGCGCAAGCGTGTACTACGCCTGCGCCGCGCTCCTCCACTTTGTGGTGCCCCAGATCTTCCCCGTAAGGCGCATCCAGTCGGCGGAAAGGAAGCGGGGGGAGGTGGAACGGGATGCCTTCTGCAGCCTAGGTCAGGGGAACTGATCGGGCAAAACGACGCCGATCCTGTGATGGTGCTCGGGGTGCAATCCTAATGCTGCGCCCCATCTCAGCGTACGACAGAAGGGAGCTGTCGTGCGATGCCCGTCCATTGCCTTCACCGTTGAGTGCCATTTTAGAGATCGCCGGCTGGATTGAGGTAGTATGGCAGGTTCGGCACGTTCGGCACGTTCGGCACGTTCGGCTTGCAGTGCAAGCGGTCACAGATGGCAAGTGACGCTGCCATCGCCAAACTGATACCATTGCAGCCCTCTTGCAGATCTCAGTGCAGATCTTCCGCAATGGGGACAACCTTGTTGGTCCTTCTGATTGCAGCTGTAACAAGTACAACAAAATCCCAATCCTTGCACAATGCAGGCCGTGACGGGCAATGCGGTCAGAATGCAGCAGATGGGGATTGTAGGTCATCCTGTTCGGCTGGCATTCTGATCTCTGGATGCCAGTTTGGGTGGCTCTTAATTGCATTGCTTGCTTTTGGTGGGCCGCTGCAGCGCGTGAGAATGTGAGGCAACCTCTGCAGGCAAGGCCTACTCCAACTCAATATCAGCGTCAAGTATATTGCTTAACTAGGTGGCAAGGTAGTTGGTACAGAAGTTTCCGTAGTCAGCATTACGGCTTCACACAATATGGAGCCAGCAGATGGCTGCCAGCTGTAAACAGAGAGCTAACAGCACTAACTGCTTGCCAGCTGTGTGTACACTTTGTGACTCTGCTACACAAGCAGCCACCACGCACTTCATCTGACAACCTTCTGGATTGTGTCCTAGGCCCTATAATTCTGAAGGCAGGAATATGGACAATTGTGGAAGTACTGCATGATCGTGGGCTTGGCAAGCTGTATGACGGCCCTGTGAACTCGCTTCTGGGGATCTCCTATTTGCTGTTCGTCATTCTACTGCTGGACGTACTGCACGACACGTGGTTCTACTGGACACACCGATTGCTGCATTGGAAGCCCCTCTACACCCATGTTCACTACATGCATCACCGGTACTGTGAATACTCATTGTTTGACTTGTGAGTGGGACGTTGTTCTATTGGTGAATGGGTGGCACTTTGTCTTGTTCTTGACATGAAGCACAACATGGATAAACTTGTATGGCAGCATTTGACGTTCTCAGGCTGGTGTGAACCCAGAACAACCCAGAGTATATTGTTACTGAACGAATTCTGTGAAGGATCATCCTTAACTCAGTGGCTGCTGCTGACCATGGGTCATTTGAATAGCAATCCCTGGCTCCCTGTGCTTTCTTTTAGGTCACGAAGCCCGACTGCCTTTACTGGGTACAGCTTTCACATCATCGAGGCCGCGATTGTGTTTGCAAACGAAATTATCGTGTGCTTCCTGTTCCCAATTCATGTGGAGCTGCATCGGGCATACCACATGGTTACAAGCATAATACATCAAGGTGGGGAAGCGCCTCTCAAAACATGTACATCTGCTGCATCCTTTGTGTGATAACACTGAGTGCCTATCCAAGGAGGCACATTGGGTGCTCACGATTATGTTCTTTTGTGTGGCAAGAGGTTCGCGAAGATATCTGACATCGATTTCCGAGTCGTTCGCAGTGGCCTTCTCCCCTGAATCCATGTACCTTCTCCGAATTTCCTCTTGTTGCGTGCTCATTTGCCTTCGGCTTCTTCGCACCATCATTGAAAGTGGATGAGAAGGGGAAGCCCAATGCATGACATCTTTCAGTCTGCAACAGGATTCTGCAACAGGTCTGCAAATTGGATTCTGACCGACATGTCATGGTGCTTATCAGTGCGTTCAAATTGCTTCAACAAATATCTTGTTGGACTTCTGGCAATGTACTGAAAACACAATTACAGTTGTCACTGTGCCCCTGGCCATGCAGAGCGGAACGCCTTGTCGCTGTGTCTGGTTCTGTCGATTGTTCCCAAGGAGATAGTGCACCACCGCATCGGACAGCATCAGTTTACACTTGGCCACGGAAGCCCACCTGGTGGTCGAAGTCCTTGGGATGAATCTGTCTTCTCAAGCATAACAGTACACAGAAGACAGGCACTTGTGTGTCTCAAACATCTGCTCACCTTCTGTTCAGATCGCCAGGCTGCTGGTGCTAGGGAGAGTCTGATTGGCACTCCGCTTTGTTGACAGGAGGGCATGCAGGATATGAGATGGCGCCATTTGTACCCACTCTTTACAGCCTCGTTTGGCTGGTACTCGGAGGTTACGGGGCCTGGCCAAGTGCCTTCAACACAGTCCAGCACCACGACTTGCACCACAGATACCCAAGGAACCACTTCTCCCTGTACTTCACGCACTGGGACAGGCTGCTCGGCACCATCCACCCAAAGTACTATAACCACCTCTTCAAGTATTTTTGAAGGCACCCCGTTGGGTTTGGTGTTTGATGGTAGACGGCTGAGCACAGCCCTTAACCTCGCAGGCTATGACTGGTTGCGTTCGTTGGTAGATGGAATAGCACAGTCTTTGAACCTCAGAGACTATGACGGGCATTGGGTACCGTATCAGGGGAAGACAGAATTGTTGGGTCCATTTGATCAGATGCTTGTATGTACTTGACGTTACTGTTTGACCTCTTTGATGAGTTGATGTGCACAATGTGGAAACCTGACTTTTTTTGTTTTGACGTGTGAGATCTGCTGCATGGGCTCATGTGCCCACCGGTCATGTGCAATTGCCCCAGCCGCCTCTCCCTCTCAGCACAGTTACTGTTGATGGCCTTTTGGTGTCCAACATCATCCCAGAGGGAGCCACCACCATGCGGCTTCCAGCTTCTTTTTGTGTCGTTCAGAACAGCGCTGGCCTGGCAGTGCAAATAATTAAAATGGTGATGATGGTGACGACGATGCTGAAATAGCACTCGCGTTGCGATTGAATGCCGTTACCCGTACACCTCGACCACCTCGAGGGCGAAGTGGTATCATGGGTATCAGGCCGCCACTTCCGTTCAAGCCCCGTTGATCGCAGCGCAAGGTGAATGTACACAAACCAAGCTGAACGGGAGGATGCGACCATCTCGCTCTGGTCTGCTGGATTGCGATGATGCGGTTTGCATCAGTGGAATGAAGCCATATTTAATCCATGGATTGCTTGAGACTGGGGCGAAACTGCTGTCGTTAAGACGCGCATCCTGCTCAACTAGCCAAACAAGCACTCCCTGGTACGAAGCGCGGATCTGAAATGTCGGCTGGGAACCGACGCCTGGATCAGCACCGTCTCCCAAATAAACGAGTGCATGCACGAGGACTGGCGCGGCCAGCATATGAACAGCCCACGGCGTTTCTCGACGCGTAGTGGTGAGCTCAACAGGCAGCTCTTCAGGGCACGCTACATGGTGATTTGTGGTACATGCATCCACTGCTGCCTCGCTCTTCACAGGATCTGAACTTTCTCCAGTGCCGCAAGAGAAGCACATCTGCTCCGCAGACCTCCCACCAGTAGGACTTGCGTGCATTTCGTCCTTTTGGCGCTGTGCGGGCGGCTGCGCCCCAAAGTCGAGCCACATATCAATGTACGCACCGCTGGCACGACTCACTGAATCCACACCAGATGGCAATTGCTGATCGCCATCTTTCCAGCCCGTTGTGAGCTGCCGTCGCACAATCCATCCCGCGATCGGATCGCTCCAGTCAAAACATCTGCACCACAAGAGCCTCTCGCATCGTCACAGCGGCGGTGCGCCCTCAACGTGCTGGGGGCGTCGGCAACGCCCACATAGCTAGGGACCCCTTGTCGCCAAGCGCATCGGGGTCCCGTTTTAATGAAAGAATGCAATGTCTCGAGCGGAGCATGCGCAGCCAGCCCCTCCATTTAAAGAATCGCTCTCATGTCAAACACCTAACTCCCTCCAGCGGTGCACCACACTCGCCTCTCAATAGCGAACTCGGCCTATGCTACAGCTCTGCCTGCCGCATCACACTCACAATGAGGTAAAAACAGGCAAAAGGGGCCCACTGTGCCGCACCCCAAAGTCCCTCAAGTTGTCCCGTCACCCGCTCTTCAGCGCCACCCACCCAAGCAACACGCCAAAGCCCGCGACACCCAGCAACGGCGGCAAGATGTAGCCGAAGCTGGGGAATGGTGGGTCGTAATGGAGGCCACCGTTGAGGGACTCCACCTGCTTTGACAGGCTGTCCACTGCCTTGGACAGGCAGGCGACAGACTGACGCATTTGGCTGCACTCGCGCTGCAGCATCTCCACCTGGGTTGCCATGCCGCTGGGGCCCGGGGCGGACACGCTCTCGGCGATCGTGTTGAGGCGGTCCGAGACTTGGCGCATGATGTGCACCAACTCATCTTTCGTGCTCAGGGACCCACTGGGCCAGGGTGAGGGATGCACGCCATTGTGAGGGTAGCCGTCCGTCACTTCAGGGCTGGCCCTTATCCTCTGGCTCAAGAGCCCGTCCCCTGTGCCTGACGACAGCCTCGAGGTGCCCCCTGCTGAGGTCAAAACAGCCTGTGAAATTTGGGGACAGGTGGTTTGGTCGGCTTGCTGACAGGAGCGCTCTTGCCAAGACCCCCTGAGCAGCAGGCAGCTGGTGGGCAACAACAGTGCAAATGGGAGCAAGTGTTGAAATGCTACAGATGAAGCTGATGGCAGGGTGAGAGACACAAGCCACGGCCTTTGTTGTTGAAGTATGGACGACTGTCACAGCAATAGGCAGACAAGTCATTGAGCATCCTACTTGCAAAAAAAACTGATAATACTCTGAATTCCATGACCAGTATTGGCAAAAAGACATGAACGTAGCACCCAAGCATGCCAGAACCACAGCCATTCCACAGTTCCGACAAGCTGCAACATTTGAAGCCACTGTTCCAAAAGAATGCCTGTCACGCCAATGGCCAAGATGCAAGAAATAAGACAACTATGTACATGGGGTATTCGGCCCTGCACACACCAGCCATGCAGGAAGGATCCAAAGATGTTGTTCTCTCGATTGCCACTGGGGGTGTCGAGAAAGTTGTTCTGAGCCTTGCGGGCAGCGATGCTGGGAACTCCTGCAAAAGTACTGGGCTCCCAGAGAACAAATGGTCTCCCAGGTGTTCGCGCAAGTTGACTGCATCCCTCAATTCAGATGTCAGCTTTTCAAGTTGAACCTAAACACCAAATCAATGCTTGTGTCAGGTCGCGGTCAAACCCATTCACTCCTTCAAGTGTTCTCTTTCAGCTATGACATAAAAAGCACTTTTGTAGAATCAGTAAAATCTGATGCTGTCTCAATCCTAGTACTCTGCAGCAATATGCTTCATGACAATCATGCACAGCCATACTGTGTGTCGGGATACATGTATTTGGAGCAACACATGCTTGCAGGGCAACACAGACATCGTCAATACATGATGCCACTTATTCAACGATTATTAAAACAAAAAAGCCATGCCCACTCTTGACAGTTAAACTTCTTTAATGTGCCTTCAGAAAACAAAATGAGGCTCTTGCGCCTTGGAGGCGATGAAGACCATGTCCAAAACGCTGGAGAGCCTGGATCAGCACCATCACTAAGACACCCAGCAAACAAGCCAAATGCTATCTTGACAGCCAGGGTCACACACATCTGGTACCAGCTACACCATTGCTTTTATTAGGGTTCACACAACACATATTTCATATACAAGAATGCCACAGTGCATCGCCTTCACAGTGCAAGGGCAGTGTTGTGTTTACATCTACACTGTCAGAGCACAGATCCACTAGCATATACTAACAAGGAAGGCATCGTTGTGGCATCAAACGCAACTCACTTCTGGAATGACACAGGTAAATCCTGCAGCTGTGCCTCTTCATTCTAGACCTGAGAAGAACCTATTCCAGTGTGGCTGTCAGATGTGGACATTGGAACGTTGAAAGGACAGTATAGTGTTCTGGCACGACTAAACACCGAAGGGACAGCACAACACCGCACCTGTTCAATGTATGACCTGGCGATGTAGCTTCCTTCCAAGCCAAGGTCCCTGCCAGCTTGGGCAACCTTCGCCCTATCCTTGCCCTGCACTTGGACGAAGGTTCCCAGTTTTTCAATGGTGTCAAGTTTGACTGTGATGTCGTCATCAGAGTGGCTCACAGTCTTTCGTTTCATGAGCGTACCGATTTCATAGCCAAGCGCCATCAGTCCACCAAGGACCTTGACACTGACCTGTGAATAAGGCAGCATGTCTTCAGCGAGCACAATGCACGCAAGTTGATGCCACAACTGACATATGGGATTCCTTGTAAAATATTGATGAATGTGAACAGGGAAATCACATGCACACACACACACACACACCACCAAGGATTGCTTCTCCTTTCCTATTGGTGTGGGCTGGCAGGGTAGTCAAGCAGGAAAAGTTAAGGGTTCCTCAAGAGAAGGTGTTCTAACTGTGAGTGAAACTACACTAGATCACTAGGAAATACACAGCCCCACACTGCATAACAAGAGGGAAGGAACCACTGCATAACCTGTATTTCTCTGTCCTACAACACACGATTGTCAATGCACAAACCAAAAATATGATGGTTGCAGAGCGCAATATGCCCCATTATAGCCTTTGAGTCAGAAACTAGCTGGTTGAAAACAAGAAAAGGAATTCATCAGCATCTGCATGGTCATTGGCCGTCCCTTCCAGTGGCACTGTAGCATTCACTGCCTTTTCCAGGTTGGAAGCTGAGGTTCGCCGCGGTGCCTGCTAAGGCACAGTGGCATAGATGTATGCATTATGCATTCATGAATACAACACCACAACATAGTACACTGATGCGATTCCAGTAATACAAGGAAATTGCTGTTGTCTTTATCGTGACAGGTCCTGAGGCGCATCAGTTTGGCGCAAGCAGTTGTAGTCACAGAACAGCAGCCTGCACCATGCCCATACTACAAGATTGATTCATACACAGGCCAGCACTGGAGTTAGGATCTCGCTGTCTTTCCTTGGCTTTTCTCTTTTACTTTCTCTTCCTTTTCTTTGGTTCCAAGTTGATCAGTCAGGGCATGTGATGCGTTCATGGTGTGCAGATTAATATATACTGTCCATCCACATTCTCAGAACAGAGGCCAACACTGTCCAGTGCTCTTTGCAATCTGATTAACAACAACAGTTCAAAGGCAATATAGGCAAGCATCGATTCCCTTGCAAAGCCAAGAGCTGGAACGTTGTTTCCTTGCTGCTTTCATTGCCTATCCAGGAGTTCTTCGGAATGTCTTGGTCGCCTTGGGGCAGGTGAACAGGGTCATGAATACCAAACTGACCCCATCCATCAAATTTCTCGATATTCTCAAGCGGAAAGTTGTCTTGCTTGGCATGCACCGTGCCTGGATGTGCTGCGTGCACACCCACGGTTCTTGATCAAGCAGTTTTGGACAGACAAGACTGACAGCAAAGTCAAAGAGCACACTAACTCTGCAACCCACCTCAAAGGATATTCTGGGAGATATAAGGTAAGGTCCATCCGTCACCCATTCCTCAAACAGGAGACTGTACCGCCCATCTCGGTTTCGCATCCTCAGCCAGCTGCTGCAGGTGTCAGGGTCTTCACCTGGGGGCAGGAGATATATGTCCACAAGTTCCGATTCTGGGCTCCGTTTGATGGCACCCTGCACATAGTGAAAATGTACATTCATTGTTATTTGGGCCACAGCAAGCCCATTGCCAATACCAACAATTACTTCACACGCTGTGCAAGAAAAGGCCAGAGCACACTGCAGATGAGAAACGAGCTTGCAGAGCACATTGAGACTGCCATGAATCGAAGTGCACACATTGCCTAACTAACATTGCCTAACCCCTTTCACCACACTGGCAACATCAGGACATGATCAAGAAGCACAGTAATCCAGATTACTATTGTGTTCACTTCTTGCTTAGCAGACTAGAAACTGCCAGCAACCCAAAGAAAATGCAACAAGGTGAGCCCGTGATCCCCAGCAGCAGGTCTCAAAGAGTGTGGAAATGACAAGCCAGCTATCAGAAAAACATGCTCCATGGCCAGGTGTGCAGACATCGACTGATAGGAGACAGATCAGTAGATTCGGGGAGCACCAAGTCCCAACATATCCACAGAAAAACAGGCAAAAGCCTGATTCTTTTTTGCTGTGTTGCAATCCCCTTGCTCTTGCATGACACTCCAAATAATGGCAAAAGCTTTGTAGCTCATCTACTTACAACACAGTGTAAATGCTGGAAGCACTGTACTGACATTAAAACAGCGAAATGCAAGTTTGGTGCGCCTTGCCTTGATTGATTCCTCTACAGAACGCTGCCAAGTGCAACGGCAATCCACAACACAAAATCGATGTGTGCTGCCATGCTCTTGTGAAGTTCGCTCAGATGGCAAAAATGACAATTCAGTTGACTGGTGCACACTGATTCTCAGAGATTACATCCGCATTACCCATTGCCGCTCTTGCACAGGCACCCACCTTCAGCACCATATGCGACTGCTCGATGGTAATCGGCTTGTCAGATTTGAGGATGTATGTCGCATTCATGAATCCTGAGAAGGGGTTGAATGTGTTGTGGATCTTCAAATGTGCCGTCTCAAGGTCAGGCTCAATGAAAGCCTTGTACATTGGGTATACAGTGTCTGAAATCTGAGAAACACAAAATGTCTCTCAAATTACCGTGTCAATGCCAGAATTATGCCAAGTTTTGTGGTGAGGAAGGGATCTTCTCACTTTGCTCCCAATGGGAATCAGCATGCTTGGTTCCATCGGCTTTCACAGGTTGCTACCATTGTTGAGAGTGTGTGGCCACGGATTAGCAAACACATGTGCATGCATAAGGCAAATGATAACCCGCTGAAGGTGCACTAACAGTGCTATACCATGTTTGGCAATTGCAACCCACATGAGTTACATGAAAGAAAAGGGTCAAAACACTTCAACACTGTCTGCACTTAGGTAACCAACTGTTCAACTGAGACCCCACTACATCGAGCCACCATATGATGACTGCAATTGTATTGGGCCATGCTGTCTCACCTTCTGCAAAACATAGCAAATCGGTACAATTCCTTTCTTTTCCATATTTGTTCTCTGTATTATCTATATACCTTCAACAATACCATCATCCTTGTGGATATTCACAGGCTGTCATAGTTCTTGGAACAGGCTGCAAGCTTGTGTGTGTAAACCTGCGTAACCCCTGTGTGTGCAATTCATGCATAGCATCCTGTTTCCATTTCCTTTCTAGCTGCTGCTTAAGTGCTCCTGAAGTGCTCCGCATTGTGAGCCGTCCAGGGTGCCAGCAGAGACAAGCAGAGACATTGTGAAGCAAGCACTGTGGATGGAATGATGCCCGTCATCTACTTCCAGGGTGCAAATAAAATGGGATGTAGCTTCTGTTGGATGTAACACAAGGGCTTGACAGTGCTCTGTCACCTGTTGGATAATTTCCTCTGGGGCCTGCCCTGACCTATCCAAGTCTCTCAGGACCCTCTTGATCAGGTCGAAGTGGACACCTCCAGTGATTGAAACCCTGAGGTCGAGGTGCCCCCGAAGCCGCTCACTCAGCGCATAAATGCCTTCAACTATCACGATCCGGGATGTTGGCACCTCAACTTCCATGTAGCCAACACGCTTGCTTTCCTTGAAGTCATAGATGGGCACCTTGCAGAAGGATAGTGCATAGACCCATAAGACTTCCACAGGTTGTGACTGTCCGGACGGAATGCAACGTGTCCATTTCGCGCAAACCAATATCGTGCTCATTTTGAGTTGCTTTGGGCCATGAAGAGCGATTCTTGGCATTCAGGTCCACAAACAAAACATCCAACAACCTTATCATTGTTTCAACAGGCAGGTTGGGCATGGGCTCATGATTGCTCCAGAACGACCGCCCCCATGATATGGTGAAACTGTAGATACACTCCTTATTTCTGGTGCTGCGGGGTTTCGGACATTACACCATTACTCAGGATGCATTTGCACATCTTTATGATTAGATGCAGGTGTGACGCCGCTGCCAAGAAGGCACAATTGATGTGATGGCTCTGCTGAGTCATGCTGCAACGATCTGTAAGATGCTTTACATAGAGATCAGGAAAGACCATCTTTCTGCACCTGGGCTGTCTTGCCACTTCTCAATTGCTGCATATTCTCCAACAGGAGGTCGTAGTCGGTCAATCGTGGATCTGTACGCACCAGACAGTTTTCAGCAACAGCCACAAACAACGTCATTAGCAGCAGGTGGAAGTCAGGAACATTCACACTGGTTCAACGGTCATGGAGTTGCAGAGCAGGGCCAAACACACAGGGACAGTCTGTTACACTGCATTTTTGCCACATATGACCATGCACTACCACGGCAGCATCAAGACAACGACATATCGAATTGACAGCAAGAATCGCTGAAATTCCCCTGATAGAATTTCAGAGTCCCACAAAGACACAGGCTTTTTGCTGATACCATTCTCAACGCATTCCAACGATTCTTGTCGTTAGCTCTGAGCACATGGAAAGCAGACCCTTGCACATTTTCTACTTTTGGCCATCAGGGATGCTTCTCTGATCAGGTAGGCACTTGGGTTCCAAGGACAGGTCTCTGCTGGTCAATATGTTGCACACTAATGTGCAGTTGCGGCACCTGGTCTTGTTCCCAAGGGCCACACTCATGGACAGCATTTCTTCTATCGAATCTTGCTTGGCATTTGCCTTTCGTGTCACACTGCTCCTGTTTGACAGTCTCTGTTTGACAGCTCGCTTAAGGGCGTTCGTTGGGTTTGAAAATCGCACATTTGCCCCCTGCACAAGGGCCAAACGATGCTGCCACATGGCTGGGTGGACAAGATGCAGTCAGTTCTCCCCTGGTGCTGCTGTACCCACCATCAAAGTTGTCATCCACAACTTTGCTGGCGTCGTTGTAGTTGTCCATGGATATGACACCCACCCCTGAACGGCACAACTCCCTGGATCAGAGCCATCTCACCACATGCCATCCAACACATACAGACGAACAAGGGCAACCGCACTGTAGAAAACACCCCACCGGGCATAAAACTCTTGACCTTCTCAGAAAAGGCCGTCTTGCCGGATCCCGAGGGTCCTCCAAGCCCAACCTGCAATCGCAAGCACACTCCAAACGGTGCCAAACCACACAACCCAACACAGCCTGCAGCGAGGAGCCGTCTCGTCCCTCAAGGCCCATCGTCTAGCAGGATGCATGTTTCCCAAGTCAACACAACGGTGTTCGCGATGGGGTAGCGTCCTCCCCCCCCTTGTTTAAATCCAAGGCAAGCCAACGGCGTGCGAGCGCGGCAACCGCGCACTCCACCAACATTCAAGATTGGCAGCCTCGAACTGACATGACGCTCGCGTCGAGCCCCCTAGGAATGCCACGACAGCCAGGCGCCAAGGGCGCAGAGACGCAGAGAGGTGCATCGCAGCCCGCGGCGGCACCAATCGCCACAGAACGGAGCCCGGCGCGCGTGCAACTCACCATGATGGTGCCCTCATTGTGTCTCGTCAGCAGCTGGAGGGCTCGGATGAAGACGAAGAACCCCTGCGCACGCGCAGCGCAGCGCTGCGGTTGGCACGGCGTCGGCTCGAGGCGCCGGAGGGGCCCTTGGGGCGGGGCGAGCGCGGTCCCACCTTGTCGAAGGGGAGCTTCTCATCGATGGGCTTCACGGTGTAGCGCACCCTCCCGTTCTTCGTCCTGTACTTCTCGAGCTCCAGCTGCTCCTTCAGCAGGCCCTGCGCGGCCGGAACGCGCTCAGGCCATCCGCGGGCCAGCCCCAGCGACCGCGATCGAACGGGGGCCTCCAAACGTTTCCCCACGCCCCTTTCGCCCTCCCCCAGGCGGACAAAACTATGCGTCCAGGCGGCCGTGAGAAAAACAAACGATTCCACAGGAGCGATCCTCTCGCTCCAATTGCCGCCCTCGCATCGGGAGCCAGGCAACGGAGCGGACAGCACGGCAGGGGTCCTTCGCCCGCCATCCTGGACTATCGAACCGTACCTTTCTTTTGGACGACGTGGCCTCAGCGGGGCCGCCCTTGGGGGTGTTGGCGGGGATCATGCCGGATGTTCCGAGGGTCGGCGGCGCGCAGAGAGTTTCAGGAGCTGCGGAGGGGACGGGCCGGGCGTGCGGCGGCTGTTCGGCGGGAAGGGCTGCGGCGATCGGCTCCCATCAAATCACCGCGCGTCTGCAACTGGCCCAGGCGGCGCGAGCCATTTGCTCAGGCATTTGGGAGCGGGTGCGCGGGCGGCATGTCGGCGTGAGGCGGCTGGGCACTGTCTGGCCTCGAGGGCTGGCGGTTGTGCGGGAGCGCCGTCCCCGCGGGCTGGCCAGCGTGCGCGGTTTTTAGGCCATGCTGCGCGCTGGTGCGCGGGGGCCCAGGACATTCGAACGGGATTCTTGTGAGTTGTTTCGAGGGAAGGGCGTTCGGTGACGTACTAAGGGGGCTATATGTGCCACCGCTGTGCCAACCCTCGCTGGCTGGCGGGCAGGGGTCGGGCGCAGTAGTCGTTCCTGGGTTCGGCTTTCTCATCTTGGCCAATTTTGTTCTTGCAGGAGTCTCTTCTTGCTCTTGGCTGGGACTGTCCTGCGAACTCGTCCGCTCATGACTCTCTCTGGGAGTTTGCCGGGGGCTGATGGCCTCTTGAAGGGCATGGCTTCGTCTGTGTTGATTGGATGGTTGGTTGGTTAGTTGACTGACAGTTTGTTTGTTTGTTTTGAAAACAAGTCAAGATATTCATTGATTGAACGAACGATCGATTGATCAATTGATTGTTCGGTTGATAGATCGATTGATCGAGTGATTCATAGATCGGTCGTTAGATCAATCGATTGATTGTTTTGTTGATTGATTGAAAATGGCCAACACTGCCCCCAAAACTGCAAATCGCAGCCTTCCATCAGTGCATTTCGGCAGTGCTTGCCACAAGCAACTTATCTGGCTGCGAATGTGGAAAAGCCTTGCCGCAAGGATGCAGAGCTATAGTTCATGTGCCTAGCCCCTGCAGCCCGCGAGTCGCAGAATTCTTTTGCCGTTCAATGTCTCCTCTGGAGGAGGAGACTCTTTCTGCACGTCCACTCTAGTACATCATACTACAGGGTACAGCGGGTAAAACCTGGATGTGAGTACGCACACCGACCACAGTGCAAAATCCAAGAAATCAAGGAGGAAAAACGCAAACGTGGATGCAGAAGTGCAAAACCCGGATATCGTGCGACCACCACAACAACATTGACAAAGCAACCACCCACTGCCCATTGCTGACAAAAAGTGGCGAATTTGGGAGAGTGTAATATTTGCAAATGTGTGTTTGATAAGGTCCGAGAAGGAACGGTAGAATACCCCAAGAATTTCTATGGTGCCCCGCTTGAGTATTTACTTGCTATCTTATCCAGTGTGGCTTTAAGCCATTGGTGAAAAGATTGAACATTTCCCAACAAGTCCTGCAGCAACTGCGCAGACGCGACGCAAGAAATTCATTATGGGAATTGAGGCAGCAATTCAGGAAGCGCAAATGATTTTGGGAAGTGCTGCACGGGCAGGCTTGTCAGCCATTTGATGCATGGAATGAGTGCTCTGTTGATTTACATCCAATCAGGGAGAGATTTGTGGGCACCGGCGATGCGCAAGCAATGTTTGGTGTGGTGGCTGCTTCCATGACTTCTGGCAGTTGGCCCTTGGAAAAGTGTTGCATCGAGGCCAAGGGGTTTAGTAGACACAAGGTAAATTTCCGTCGAGAGCACAGGCTTGGCCTCAAACGGGTAGCCTTGGTGCGCGGCCTGGCGGTACGGGTTTATAATTTGAATTAAGTGAAGTGCATTACACAGTGCTTCAAAAAGCGCCAGGGTTTGGCACGGCGACTTTAATGTCACGAAACATTGGGCAAACGTGGTTGACGGTTCTGGGAATTGTCCTGTGTAAGGGATAGTGAGATCCAGCTGTGACCTATGACGCAAATTGACTTGTCCGCCACGGGAAAGCGGCAAGAGGGAACTGCCAGGCAGAAATACACAAATCCAACACCACTTGACAAATCGGAAGGAGCTGCCGTTTGATTTCAATGCTTGATTACCATTTCTGATTTTGATTTTAACACTTTCAACTTGGGACAACTCCTTTTTCACCTTTACATCGGGTGGGAAAAGACCCGCTTCTCTGTCTTTGGGACGGAGGTGGCACATAACCTCATAAATGTAAATAGGTTGGAACAAAAAGACAGCAAGCGGTGATTTATGCACCGTCATTGCCTTGTTTCCTTCGGCGAGATGGCCACCCCCTGGATGTCCCAATATCTTTATTGAGAGCGCAAGGTCCCGCCATGTGCTTCTGGCGAAGTCAGCAATGCGATTGGCACAAACGAGGTCATGGGTGCACACTGAATCCCGGACCAAAAACAAGCGCACCCTCCCTGTTCCCCCCGATGTGCCTGCAAAAAAACTGCCTGCCACCTGTGCCAGTTCAACCCCACACGCTCCCCTCCAGCACCACAGTCCCACCGACCCCACCACCCGGCCCCGATCTCCCCTCGTTCAGTATGTTCGCCTCTCGCCTCACGCCCCTGCTGCGCCAGCTGAGCGGACGAAGTTCGACCGTCGCCCGGGCGGCCGCGGGGCAGTCCAGGGGATTCTCTGCCGGTGCGCGCGCGAGGCCCTTGCGCGGCATCCGCGGATCTGTTGTTGGGAGGGGCACGACGGGGGCTGGGCGCGGCCGGAGCGGCGGGCTGAGTTGACACTTTTGTGTTCCCTGCTCGTCGATCAGAGGCCGAACCCGTGAACTGCTGGGAGGCGCCCACAAACCCGGCTAAATGGAAGCGCGAGCACGTAAGGGGGCCCGAAGACCGCGTCCTGCATTGGCCCTGGCGTCGCATACCCGATCGAAACGATGCCGATGCTTGGGATCTTGATTCTTGTTGAATTTTGATGTTGGCTTTCTGCGTTATTCATCCGATCCGATGTTGGAGCAATGTTGGGGAATGTGGCGGAGTCCGCAGGCACAGACTTGGCCCCCTGCATTCGTTTGATTTGTTTTGATCTGTCGAACAGGTGGTGTTCGCGGTCCTTGGAGGGTGGGCCGTGGTGATCTACGCCGGGAGGGCGCTCTTGAGCTCCCCGAAGAAGGCACCGGCTGACAAGCAGACAAAGTAATGCTGGCGGACGTATCAAGGTGCAACATTGCCCTTGCTCAGCTGACCCTGTGCACGAACACCACTGCGGGCTTCCTTGTCGCGAGAACGCTCGGGCTGAATGTCCTGATTGTACTGTGTAGTCAAAAGCGCCTTCTGGGAAGGGGGATTCGTGCAGCTTGTGAACCCTGTGATGGAATCTCTATACCAACTCTGGGCTTGCAACGAAACAACACACCTGTTCTTATGTTTCCCAAGCCGCCCTGCCGATGTGCACAAGTGCGCACCATGGAGATGTAGAGCTTGTGGCTGAGCTTTGGTTGCGCGACAGTGGCAGATGTTGTTTGCTGCCTTGGCTGTAGAAGTTGCAATTCCAACATGGTCACCTCCATCACAACCCACACTGAGTGACACCTTCAAGATTTATACCATGAACAAATGCTGCAGCTGATGTTGATGCTATACTATGGGCAAGTGCTGCTGCTGATTTTGATGCTGTTAATCAGGTTACATGGCATATCAGCACCAGTTTATGGCACAGGGCAAGCATGAACAGATACAATAATCCATCATTGGGTTGGTCACTGATTCCATGTGATCCAACTACTGGGCCCATAAGTTTGTGCTTGGATTGAGTTGGAGGACGCAGCATGTTGCACACAAGGCCAATTTTCCTAGCAGGATGCTGGCTGTATGCCAAGAGGGGCCACAACACTGCACACCATTGCCTTCCTTCAAGTGCACTGGTCGCTGAATTCTCTGCAGCTAGAAGATGGAAGAAAAAGGCTGCATATTGATTCCCTATAGGCGCTCCACAGTACTGGAAATTGGCCAGGAGTTTGCCATCTGAAGCTCTGCTATGACGGCTTTGCTGTCCGATGGGAACCCACACACCCTGTGTCACTTTCCATCGGGGCCTGATCAACACATCGGTGACAACCCAAAAAGGCTGGTCAACCAACAGAGCCAATGCAGGAGGGGCAAGGCAGTTCAGCCATCCATAGCCAGGCTGATGCAGCTACTCAGCTGTCCATACCTGCCCGATCGCTGGGCAGACAAGGGATACTTTGAGAAACTGTACTTGATTCAGTGGGGTTGCTTTGGGAGAACGCAGGTTCCCAGTGTTTGACGACACGGCTATTGCAACATTCGAAAATCGGCGTGGAGCTGCATCCACTGGAGGGCCATTGGCAGCAAACATAATTGCTACGGCTTGCACCACTGTGTTTGCTCACCATCCCTCCATTGTATGGTTCTGGCACACTGTAGATTTCAACACATACATCAGCTATCCAGTTAATTAGGGTTGGTGTTTGACCATTACTTTTCTCCAAGGCCGCTCCAGTGTGCAGTGACGTGTTTTCTGCTGACCCAACATTCGGTCGCTCACCCAATTTCGAACTTGTGCGGGCACTCCTCGCACACGGCTAGCGTGGTCATGGACTCCTTTCCATAGGGAGACTGCCCGCCGATCTTCGCCGAATCCATACTTGCCGCCCGCCTAAAACCAAGCCATGTGTATCCTTTCATGATTGAAAGAGTACCTAGTGAATTGCTCAGGCGATCCCTTGAGACCAAATTATGAGTTCATTTCAGCGCATTTTAACTGCTTTTCGGAGCCTGCAGGTGAAAAATTCCCAAGGGCCCGTTACCAGAAACAAAAAAGCGGCCGCGACGCCAAAGAACGACAGGCACACCGCCAGAGCCCAGCAATGCCTCCCCGTTCAGCAATTAGCTAATCGTTAGATATTGGGTCTAACTAAAGAGTCTTTTTTTCAATAACTGATCAAGTTACTCACCAGTACCTGGGCGATAATCACTACAATAGACAATCCAGTATCGCAATAAATTAGAGATCCAAGTGGACAGCTTTATCCCCACATTGCCATGCTTGCATTTGTCATAACAAGCCAAACCACAGACCTTGCAAATGATAGGCGGTAACGCGCATCACTCCTCACTTTTCTTTGTTTGAGTCGTATGTTCTTGTTCCCCTGTCCACTCTATCTTGAAATTCCAGGAAAGGGAAGGAAAGAGAAACAAAGATCCAAGTCATGTCTAGTTGAAATTCACCATCGCAACGGCGCAAAGGGAGGAAGAGTGCTTGTATATGCTCCTGTGAACAGGCCATTTCAAAGGTGGCAATCTCTTGATCAGATCAATGAGACGTATTAAATGATGCTTATGCGTACCAATAGGGAGATTTGGAAGTGCCTTGCACCAACCTTTCTCAAAATTGCGTCGTCAACTGTGATCATGCAACCCTATAGTTTCAGACCCGCTGGTGATCCTCCGCCAAAGTCCTAAGTAAAATCCTGCAAGATCTTGCACATCGACCACAATCCTGACAATGCTCAACTTTGCATGGTGGAACACCTGAAAGCTTTCCAAACACACTAGAACCCCTGTTGGATCCAGTGACGTGTGTGAGCCGAGGTTCACTGCTATGTTTTGTGTTGAAGCTTCCGTTTGTTGTGAGCCTGCCCGTATCACAAGCGCAGCCCCACATTCCTTGTTTCCCATCGCGCTCCAAACTTCAAGCTTGCTGGACGGGATCCTCGGCCCTCGGTTCCCTGCCGCAGCCTGCCCACCATTCCCAGCATTCCCAACAGTTTTCCCAACGTTAAGCCGGTTCAAACCATTTGCAGCATGGCTGGCCGGCCCCTCGGAGGGTGCCCCGAGGCGTAGTCACACAGTCGGTTACACCTTGCCTTCGCCGTCCGTGGCTCCAGCATGAACCCCATTGCTTGTTACACGAAGTGTTGTTTTTTACAAGCAGATTACCTCATGTGTTGTGCATGGAATTTGGCTGGCCAGTCTGTCCGAAGGCCGCCAACTCAAACGAACATTCCACCGGCCGCCCCAGCTATTCTGGCTTGGCCAATCCCCAGTGAAATCCCTTGACCTTCCCCCGTTCATTCTAATCCCACAGCTAATACCAATTCTTCCCCGCCTCCCAACTGCAAACTACAGGCCAGCGCCCGGGACCCATCCGCCCGCCGACATTCCTAGGGACCCTACTCGCTACCCATCCCCCTCACTCCCTCCTCCACAACCTCTACCGCAGCTCCCTCCAACTGCCCCACTAGCTATGCGCCCCATTTTCATTCGTTCCCAACTACGCTTCGTTCGTTCCTTTGTATCATCTCAGTGCTTCATCCCCGCACCAATTCCCACCATTCCACCCGTCCATTCAACCCAATTGCCGCACATTAAACATGCACCCCTCGCCCCAACAGGGGCGCCCACGCATACACCGCAGCTGCCGAGCCAGCGCCAGCAAGTCGCGATTCGATCGAACAGCCTCCACCCGCCCACCCTCCGTCGCCGTCCCACTTCCCAGACCGGCTCCGCACTCAACCAACGCCTCTCAGCAACCGCCAGCAGCACCCCACACGCACACACACTCTCCCCCCCCGCCTCCCCCCGCATTCCCCCCTTCCCCGCATCCCGTTCGGGCCCCTTTTGCGTCCTACGGTCCTTGTCGAGGTTGGGCGGGACCGTGCGGCCACAGCGCCGGAGGGCTGCGCCGCAGGGCGCACGGTGTGCGGGGCCATGGGCCCATCGGCATCCGGAACGGAGGACGAGCAGGCGCTGCTGAGAGGTGCTGCGCCGCCTCCTCTCCCCCCGCCCCGCCCCCGGTCCCGCCGTTGCCCATCCTCCGTTGGGTTCCCAGGAGGTTCTGGACCTCGCGGTGTGGCCGGCCTGGGCGGCGCCCGGCCGCGCGCTGCCACTCCCCAAGCTGCCCCCGGACTTGCTTCATGGCGCCGGGTACCCTTCCTGCCCGACCCGCTTGCCGATGTTGCTGCCAATCGCGCCGTCCCAGTCGCGATGTCGTCGACCGCCGCGTCCGTCAACCTGCCCGCCCAAGGGACGATTGATTGCCCGCCGCGTCGCTTCGCCGAAGCATTTAATTGACGGGACGCATCCCCTGCCGCGGTCTGGCGCCGTGCCCGCGGGTGCTTGGCGAGGCCCCGGCTGCCCGCCGCTGCCGGGCGTCGCTTGGGATCCGTGCGACCCACGCTTCCGGCTGGCTTGCTGTCTCACCTCCCTCTGGCAAAGGAGTTTGTCGGAGATATCTGCGGGACTCCCGCGGCTGTGGTTCGGCGTCGAATGCGGGCGCTGGGGGCCGGCGAGGACCCGCGGTGTCGAAGCGGCGCTGTTCGATGTGCTGAATGTGTGCCCGGGATGTGCCGCAGAGGAGCGTCCCACATTTTTTCAGCGCTTCTCGCAGAGCTGGAGGGGATTCAGGTGCGTCTACGGTTGTGCGCTCTCGGCATTGGTGAGGCCCATGTGCATTCTTTTGTCGCAAGCCTGCTTGGCTGCAGCGCTGCCCGTGAAATTTCCTAAATCCGCAGCTCACGCGCTGCCACCGAGCACACCATGCGGCGCTGCCATGGCCACGGGGATCGCCTCAGTGTTGCACAGCCGGTGGCAAGGATGCGGCAGGCGCAATGTGGATGCTGCCTTGGTCTGAGCTATGCTGAGCTATGTCTCAGCTATGTTGAGCCTTGATGTGGTTTCAATCCGCACGAATCGATGCTGAAGCCGCCGATATCTGAAGGCTGATGTCTTCGCTCCACAGGTTTGGAACGGCCACAGGGGGCAGTGGCGAGGGTGGCCATGTGGATGAGCCGGTCTCCCCTCACAGTGAAGCCCACTCTCCAGGGGAGGGACCTGTCACAAGCCCAGCCTCCAGCTCCTCCAATCAGAGCAGCACCTCGGTCTTCGTGGATTGCGTGCCTCCGGCTCGAAACTCGGAGGATGAACATCCGTACGCTGGTTCGTATCCTGGATCCTGCCGGCCAATCCACGAAGGAGAGGAGCAGGCCTTGTTGGTGGAGGGGTGCGGCAGGGAGGCCCGGCCTGGGTCCTCACGGCGCACCGCGCCGCTCCCAAGGCCTTCGTCACTGCAGCGTGCGATGAGCATGATTCTGACCCTGAGCCGTTCTGAGAATAGCGATGGCAGCCCACCTGATGACATGGGCAGGGGAGCAGCCGGGAGTTACAGCAGCGGGGATGACAGCCCCACAAGCAGATTGATCAGGGAGAAGTGGACTGGTATGGAGGAGCGTTCTGGCGCTCGGGGATTGTATGTGACCATCTGGCTGCTTGTGTAGTTCTGCATGTGTAAGTGCAATTGCATTTGAAGGGGAAATATGGGATCTTGTTTGTGGCAAAGGATGCTGGGCACAATCTGATGGATTGCGGGTGCACACCTGTGAGCTCTCTGGCTAGCTGTGCAGTGTTGCAGGTGTCTGAGTGTGCTTGCCTTTGTAGTGGTAAATTGGGGCACTTGTACCTTTTGGACATTGCCAGGCACAGCCTGGCTGGATATGGAGTGCGTAACACTTCACTGACCAGTGCTATGCTATGTTGATGTTTGTCACTGGCCAGTGTGTCAATGCTCAGGTAATTCAATGGCAGCGATGTTGCACCACATGATATGTGGACGAATACACCAAGACCCCAAGTGGATGTGAGTATCAGAATGCACAACCATGCTGACGCATAAGTGTGTGGGATGCAGGCAGTGGAATACGATCATCAAGGGGAAACAGAGGGATGAGTCGCTGCAGCAGTGGGCTGCCGATGTGCCTTATCTGCCTCGAGCCCCTGAGTCCCGAGGACTTCGAGAGTGGGGAGGCCATCACCCTGGAGTGCCAGTGTCGAGGAGAGACTGCCCTCAGGCACCGCAGCTGTGCAGAGAAATGGGTCAGGGTAAGTGGAACAATCCCCCATAGTGTGACAGTCACTTCAGCATAAATCTTTTACTGTCAGGTGTGCAATCGGCTGAAGCGAGCTTGGGTACCTGCAAGATGGCCAAGCGCCTGTCCTGCACTGTTGGTCCTGCCCGCCACCAGGCATTTGGTGCACTCTGGTTTTTCATGAACATTGTTTTCGACACAGGTGCCGACTGAGCACACCTGCATTTCGCACAGAGCACATGAATTCAAGTCCTGATAGCATCACTGACTCGTTGTTGTATCAAACAGAGCTGCATATGTGCAGGCACGTCTGAGCCTTCCAACCTTTTGCTAGCCCTGGAACCCTCTTGATGAATGAAGTCACCAACTGTCAATTGGTGTGTGAAACAACCAAGGCATCAATGCCGGCGTCATGCACATGTGCTGCTAGTCAATGGTTTGTTGGAACTGGCAAAGGTGGTGTGAGTCAACACACAGCATGCTGTGTGACCTGTGCACCGAAAGGGCAATGTGGTGGACTCTGTTGATGATCACCCTTGCATGATTATGGACTTGCCTTCCCTTCCAGTTTAGACGCACATGCTGGTCTACTTTGGTCCCCATCAGTGCCGCATGGCCCTAAGTAAGTCTTGCACGCACTGTCAGTCGATTTTCGAGATTGGGTGCATTTCAGAGCTGATCGTGCTTTGTATGTTTGTGGCTCAGGTTAAGGGAGATCTCATTTGTGATATCTGCCGGTCGCCCATTCTGAACCTGCCCCCGCCGCCGCCCCGATCTGAAGGTGGCGATAACAGCGACGATAGTGAAGAACCCGCAGGCACCTGGCTTTCTCGCTTTCCTGGCGCCACGGATGTCTTTGACTGCATCCGCATGACCTGGGTCGTCACGATCGTGTGCATCCTGTTCTTCGAGTTTCAGATAATGCAGGCCCTGTTCACAGGCATGGTCGTGGCGGTCTTGTACGCTCTGTTCTGCCAGATGATGAAGTGCATGTACAGCCGGCGCTCGGAAGAGGATGGGTCGTCCCGTTCTGCGCCCACGCAGGGTGAACAGCCAGCCAACCCCGTCCTGATGGGCGCAGCAGTTGTGTGACTGTAGTTGCTGTGGGGAATCCTGTGGCCTATATCAACTGCCCTCCCCGTGTAGCGCCTGGCTGGTGTTGGGCGCCTTGTGCGCACACTCGAGCCTGTGTTCCTTCGTGTTGATCTGGGCACTTTGATGGCATGCGTGGAGATGGGTGTGGCAGCGAGGGCAATCCGGAACTGCTACTGCTGCGCCTCGACTGCAAATTGCCAAAGCTATTTAGCAGCATTCTGCATGTGAGCATTTTTGTGGATTGTCTTGCGCGGACTGATCTTTTGGCAGTGGTGCAATTGATTGGTATCATTCTTCAATGTACATTGTAGACAAGAACTTGGTGAGGGCTTGGGGAGCAGTTCGAGATGCTGTCCTCTGGGTGAATTGAGATCTGGAGGGGCAAGTTGCTGGGTGGGTGGGCAGAGTGTGGCAGTTTCATTGAACTGTCAATTTCAACACATGACTGGCAGGATTCTAGAGGCATGTTCGTGTGGGGGGTGGGGGTGGGCGTGTGCAATTGTGGGAGACTGGGTATTGTACATTTGGCACTTTTGCAGTTGTCCTTTTGGGATGGCTGTGCCATTGAATAAGCCTGGCGGCTGGCGACGAAAATCAAACAGAGCAAAAGCCACCTAGAGCTTCGGCGAGAGCAGGCGCCGTGCGCGCTTGTCCTATACTTCGGGACACAAGGGATTTCTATTATTCGTGTGTCTATGGTAAACAAAGGAATGGAGTCAGTTAGCGATGATACATTGTGGATGGTGATGTATTGGTGGGCTCAAATGTGCAGTTTCGCGCGGTTGAAATGATGGCTGCAGTGGGGAAGGTGGTCGTCGGCGGAACTGGCAGTGTGGACGTCTGTGGCTCTGGTTGTAGCTTCACTTTGCATGCCTTGATGCATTGCCCTTTGCAGGCCAATATGGACGTGCGGCGCATGGAAACGTGGGTTCCGTATACCCTTTGAGGAGCACTCGCCTGATGGCCATCACTTGGACAGTGCTGCCAATAGCGTGGTATGCAGAGTGGAACGGCGCGTGGCATGCCTCGGTTGGCGGGGATGGCTCACAAATGAGTTATGGATTGGGCTTCATGGACAGGTGCACCCTTTTGTAGCGCGTGATTGGCTGAAGTTGTGACAGCGAGCGCGGGAACTGGAGATCGCGACTCCTGGTCGATGACCTTTGTCACGGATACGCCTTAATGCATATTCGCGATATCAAGCAAGAAGGCCAGGGGCCTGACACGACCTCACAGAAGAACAACGGAGAAGACGGTGTCCGTCACCATGGCGCCGCGTGGGCGTCACCTCATGCAGCGCATTTATTGGCATGCAACAGCCACGTCACGCTTCGGCCCAAAACAGTGTGGTTTTCACGCAGGAAGACGTGCAGAATCTGTGCTTTGCCAAGCCAGCGTCGCTCCAGAAGCGGGACAGTTACTGACATATATAAAAAGTTTTTCTGCTGTCAGTAAACTTCTTGGACTGTCCACGACAGAACACAACCCTCGCGCCTTGCCGGCGACAGCAGAGCCGTACTCAAGCATGGGCACAAGCGTTCGTCTGAGCCCATACATTCTCAAACCTGGAACAAAAGAGCTGCAGCTCCAGTGCCGCCACATTCGATGGCATTCGCAGCCGCCGATGGACAGAAGGCAGAGATCCCCACGGCACAGTTCATCGGGCAAACTGCCACAGCAACAAGCAGTTATCCAGCCCAGCAGTGGTACAGAATTTGTGGTGCGAAATTCCAGCAACTGAAAGAACGCCTGCTGCTCCTTTCCAAGCCAATCAAAGTGGCGGCAAGCAGGAGACCATGAACGTCAATCCTGAGGCACACCGATCCCACGCCCTTTCTTGCAGCACGTGAAGAAAAGCGAATCATCGCTTGGGCGGTTTGCAGTCGCCCCTGATGCCCGTTGCCTTGCTTCGAGCCTGTTTCACTTGGCTGATGAGCTTCTTCCGCTGTGTTCTTATCCACCTCCTGGATTGAAGACTGCCTCCATCCGTATCGGTGCTGCACTCCTGCGGGAATGAACGCTGTTGCCCCCATTCAACGACTGAAATCGAAGCTGCAAAACGTTCGAACATGGTCTGGCGCGGGAAGGAGACATAGCACCCAGTGCTAGGGATCCTGCCTATTTCATTTGTCGGAGTGTGGCAAATACACCGGCCTTTCACCTGAACGGAAATGGCGGGCGCCATTAGCAGGATGCAGTTTTCGCATTTTCACATCAACGCAGATTGATTAAATAGCATTTGCATAGGGGCGGCGACTCAAATGCTGCTCTCCTTTGGACACGCTCGCCATCTCATGGCAGAATTTGGGTGACGTCAGTTGCGATTCGGTCAGCTGTGAAATCCGTGTGTATTTGAAGAGCCACCATGTCGTTGGGTAGAGCAAGCACTGCAATAATGCTAATATGATGTAACGGCGATTGGCTATATAAATATGCGCCAACGGGGTGGAGATTGCGTGAGTGGTCCCATTTGATTTCATGCACAAATCCACTTGCTGCAAAGGGGAAAATCCAGGCACTGTGCCACAACGCTTCACCCACCTTTTTGCCCTTCGCTTTCTTGAACTGCTGAAGTTCAGTGAACATTGCGTCCAGGGCCTCCGTCAGAACGAGTATTTGATTGTCCAAGGCCTGTGTTCGCTTCATGCCCACTTTTAGGGCTTGGACAATTTCCCCGTCCTGGAAATCACACCCCCGCAATGCAGTCATGGCGGGCGTCCATTTGCCCAACGAATTTCCCGACTATGCTACACAACAGCATGAAACATCATGGCCCACATATTCTCTGACAGGGTGGCAAGCAGACTGACTGACACCAGGGGTATCGAACCAAGCCACCAGGCTGAAGATTTCTCCACCATGGACAACAGGCGTTCATGCACACCAGTTCGGAGCAGCTGATTCCTCACGCTGAGTGGGTCTTCACGAAAATGCCTAACTGTCCGCCAGCAAGCCCAAAACTGTGGCGAATTTGAGGGAGTGACATGAGCGCAAGAAATTTGCCGGCAACAATCCATTGCTGGATTGTAGCGATGGATGCACATGCTATTCATTACGCCGAGGCCGAAGCAAAACAGGAGATACTGTGAGCAAGGAGAAATCTTTAGCATTTGGACAATTACTAATGGCAATAAAATTGTCGAAGGACAGGACAGGGCAGGGGGCCAACTTGCGTGCATGGAAGGTCACCTGTGCGGCTGATACGTCCCCCATCAGCGTAGATCGCCCAGAAACGCTGCACATGTCGTCATTGCCTTGGCGCTCAGTGCACAACATTCGCCTGAGTGGGACGCATGCCAGTCGCCGTTCGCATTCAAAGAACACATTGTCAGCCACACCCCATGCAGTGTTTCCAATCAACTCTATGTTAAGCCTGAATTTGTGAATGTGCACAGTCTGCTCTCCCTCAAACATCGACATAGTTTGCCAATTGTGCGGCAACACGCTATGCCGATAAGGAGGGAACAGAGATGAGATGCTACCTTTGGCTGTTGCTGAGCATCCAATTGTTGGGCTCACGTCCACGCAAACAAGCATAAACAGGAGCCACGCGCATACGGATGAGGATGAGCGACCTGGAGAGTGGTGTTCGCACGCATTGGAGCAGGTGGTGAACGATCGTGTATTTGACAGCCCTCGTGAGGGCGAGGTGGACGCCGGTGTGCTCGAGGGGACTGTGATCCGACAAATTGTCAGCAGCAGTTTGTGACACGATTTAATTGGCTTACCGCGAAAATGACATATACACATAATATACACATAAATTTGAGCGTCTGCATACTCACACATATGTGTCGACATATGCATGAACACATAAATATGTACCCTTGAGTATCGTGTGGTGAGACAGAACGGACATGCCATCTTTTGCTGCCGACTTATTGCGCACAAGCAAGGTCATATTCTAGCGGCGTGAGGTGGTATTACTCATAAGATCACCAGCCTGTGATTGCAAAATTGTGGCATCACTGACCTTCCAAATGACCCATTTTCGTTGCCCGACCCAATTTTCGCCAGGTGGCGCTGAAGCTCTTCACGCTCCGCCTTCAAATTGTCCCGCTCCTGGCGAACCACCTCATTGCAAGATTGGGACCAAGCCGCCTGGGCCTGAGACTCCTTGCGTTGCCTCAACAGCGACTCTTCCCTGGCATGCAAACTGCCGATTCCATCTCCCATCTTGCTGGAATGCTGAGCGTCGAGAGCCTGCACAAGTACCGCGAAGTATTAAACCCTTCTGCATAATAAACTAATGCTCGGCCTTTTTTTGTGGAGAATAATTAATAGAACACTTGCAGAGCAACATTCATAAATATGTAAATAACGCTATAAAAATATGTGGAGCACAAAGCGCAACGGTAAAATTTTTTGATGGAGAAGGGTTAAATATATTTCCTCCGTCCAGAATTAATTGTCCTCTATGGCTTTGGCGGCCTAGTTCTCCATCATGCAAGATCCTTTTTAAATAAAATTTCTTACAAGGATCTGTCTCCGTTTTCGGAGTGCACGGTTAAAATCACAAGTCAATCGGTAAAGTATTGAAGATTTGGCAATACATTGTAGCAAGTGTCCTCCTCCCAGAACCCCTCCCGTTTTTCAACGAAGTCACCGAAACGGTTGTTTTCCCCGATGGTAAGGAGCACGCCTTTGTGGGAGCCAAACAAGACTGCCCATGCAAAACCATCCATGCCCTTTGGATAGAAGTTTTGCAGACATCCCTGTGAAGAAGCAGAGTGGGAGAAAACGTGTCTTGGCGGGATTCATCATGGAAGTCGCCGTGGCTTCGCTACCCTAATTCGAGATCGATTGGTCAATTCGGTGAGCCTAGATTTCTGGGCCACGACATGTATACCTCCATCGCTGCCATGAGGGGTAACACGTAGGGCCTCCCAAGCCCCTCGAAGGGGTGCGAAGGAATGCGATGGCCATCACCCCAATCAACGGCATACGTTTAAGCGAATGGCTTGCAAGGCGAGATGGCAAAGTCGAACCTTGCCTCGACAATTGAAGAGTGGAATGCAAAGCAGATGGCCAGGTACATAAGTTTGTGTCTCTCTCACAAGCGGAGAATAGGTGGATTGCGAGAAGGGGCGGAACGCATGTAGAAATTGGCCGCTAGTGGCAATTTCTGGAGTGTGGGCCCAGCCATGCAACATAACCTAGATTTAAGGATCAATTGAGGCGCAATGTAAGAGTAGAATTACAACATAGCATTAGAATGATAGCCCACATAGAGCCCAAGCTCGAGCGTCTTGGGCATAGGCCTTTTTCGCTTGTGGCAAGTCCTCGCATCAAAAATCAAGGATGCCAAGGATTTCTGCCATCGTCGATGCCGTGACAACGAGATTCTTCGATGGGAATCCAAACACGGTGGAACGTGTTTGGCAAGCGCCACACTACATGAGGGGCACTGCCCTTCGCCACGATGGCAGCAACGACCTTGCTTTGGCACGCCTGGGATGAGAGCGCCCCAGAACCGCGCGGATCTCCAATGGACGCGGAATCAGAATCACAATTTCAGCCGAATCTTAGGCAATTTCAACGGCGCACCAGAGGTAGTGGGGATGAGTAAAGTTTCGACAAAAGCTGGTAATCGGGGGTTTTGGGACACAATCTTTTCTATCATGAACTTTGCTGGTACTTTCGAACCCCGTTTAGATAAATACATTGATATTCGAAATAATGGACAATTAACTCCGGACGGAGGAAGCCCGTCGCATTTTTACACGGCGTTTTCTTTGTGCTCGGCAACATGCCAAACAGAACAAGTTCAATGTAGGGACGCTTGCTGCACATATTTTGTGTCGTCGCCTTCAGAGCGATGGTCACTTGCGCCCAGACAGATCTTCCCATGGTTGTTGACTGGCACAACGCATGGGAGGAACGCGCTCCACGCTTACCGTATTGATTTGATGTTGTCCTATGCTAAATGTAAGGAACATCGGCTCAGTACAATTCAGCCCCGGCATTGAGCCAGTGATGTTTGAGTCTTGGAGAACGCGTGCCAAAATTTGCAGTAATGCGGGAGACACCAAGACGAGCCGTAAAATGCCCAAGGGCAGCATATGCTCATTAGTGTGGACTTCAGTCGGTCAAATTGACACCAGAAAATTGGTTGAGTATTCCCAATCTCAACCAACCTTAGAACGGCTTTGCCCCGGTAAAACACGATTTTCAGCGATTTGACAGGATACCTACAAACAGAGAAAAGTTGTACACAATTTTGATTTGTTTTAATGACAATGAGTGCAAAAATGCGTTGATATAAGCCTGCCTCCCACACCCCATTCTCCAGGAATTTCCCTGCAATGATGAGAAGCCACGTTCAAAGTCTCCACCAAAACTGACTGTCCGTCTTGCAGCATACTGAGTGCGTACCTGTGAGAGTGGCAATAACCGGGGCGGGGGTCGGAACCACTGCGACTACGAAGACTACCTCATGCCATGGCAGCGCATGCCAACTGAGCGGATTGTACGCCACGGTGCGTGCAGGGAGACGTGCACATCCGAATCCAAACACATCCTGTCGGACGGCACGCTATGCTTGGCCGGGTCAGAGAACCTGGCAATTACAGACTACATAGACTGTGGTGCATAATGTACCACGGGTTCGATTTCACCTGCTGATCATGGCGTTGGTCAGTGCCCAGATCACAGGTAGTTCCAATGCTCCATTGGTGCGCACGTGCCGGGCCTGGCTCCTCTGCAGGGCAGTGAGCAGACCACATTTAGAGGAAACTTGTGATCCGGCATCCCCTTGCAAACCGAAACCATAGCTACATCGATGTTCACACCACAGCAGTTTTCAAGTAGAGAACAAAAGGCCGCAAGTTGTCCCCAAATCATGTTAATGTTGCTCTATCTGGTCCAGTCAGCCGCGTTGTACGCCATTCATTTTCTATTTTCAGCATTGAACACCATTTGAGCAAGGCATCGGAGTGTGTGCAACACAATTCTGTGCGAGTCGGTACGGCCCCGCAGCTGTGTTACAGACATGGTTATTTCTTTAACCCATTCTTGATCTGCTGAGACAGAGCGACAATCCGCTATGATGAGTCCCAATGCAACAACACACCAGCTCATCCGCAACAGTGTCCGACACAACTTCATCTGCACGTTTCACTTGCAAAGTTCCAGAGTATGCAATTGCAAATATAGAACGAAGAAAGCTGAGTGAGACTGACAGCACCTCCGATGCCGGGCGAGTTGTCAAACTGCTGGCGACGGCGACCTGAGGGAGCTGAGTCCCCTTCTATCACCCTCACATCTGAGCCCTGCGTCCCCAGGTTGGTCGGGCGTGCATGGCCTTGCGGTGTCAGGGCAATGGCATACACGGAATCTGCATCGTTGGAGGGGGCACACTGTCCTGTATGGCAAAGGCACAAGGCCATCAAACAACGTGCATGGATGCGCTGGAGCGACCACATGCGCAGCTTCCATGTCCGATTTTGCGCTGGTGCCTGCGGTCGCTGTGGCCATAGTTTTGGAAACACATACTGTAATCTATGCCTCCACCTGCATGGCGGCGAGCTGTAACAAAGCCCCTATCCTTCGTCCGACAATGTGGTATGTTTGCACAAGGTGCGCGTGATGAAATCATCTTGCGCACCATCAGGAGAATGGGCAGGCGTGCGGGTGCTATTGCATCTTCTCGGTGAGACGAAAGAGTGCATCGATCCCTCTGGAAGAGCTGCGAATTCGGCCTGACGTAC